GAACTTCCTATGGTTGGTGATTGCCCAGTCCTCAAATTTGTCAAGGTTTCTCTTGCAGGGCCTCCCTGCCTTCAAGGGATTCAATAGCCCCTCCCAATTTTGTGTCATCTGCAAACTTGCTTAGTATCCCTTCCAGTCCTGAGTCCAAGTCATTTATGAAATATTAGGAAGAAATTCTTTTACCTCAGAGGGTAGCAAGGCACTGGCACAGATTGCCCACAGGAGTTGTGATGCCCCATCCCTGGGAGTGTTCAAGGCCAGGTTGGATGGGGCCCTCAGCAATCTAGTCTAGTAAAAGGTGTCCCTGCCCATAACAGGGGGGTTGGAACTAGATGATCTTTAAGGTCCCTTCCAACCCAAACCATCCTATGATTCTATGAAAAACTTGCTGAGACTACTAAGCCAGTATCAATCCAGAAGATGTACCGCTGGTCATCAGCTGGAAGTTGCACTTTGCACCACTGACCACAACTCTTTGAGCCCAATCATCCAACCAGTTTTCCATTGAACTCATTCTCCTCTTGTACAGCCAAGCTATGTTATGTTTCCTTTGTATTTATAAAAGGTCAGTACTACAGAGCCCAAACCTTACTGGAGCTTTTATGAGCTAAAATGACAAAATAGCCTGAAGCCTCACTATCTCAAACCATTATTCTCAAAGGTCCCCAAAAATTACATTTCTTTTATTCATTTTGTTACACAATACTTACATATCAACCACTATTTGGGCAAATATTCCTATCATCACATCCCACTAATTCAAAATAAAAATTGTGTGAACCCTTATTTGATTGTAACAACAGATAAAAATAAACCAATGGAACTACTTGGAGCAAGTTGGGTTTTAAGCAAGTGACGCAGAGTTATAAGAAAACACAATGAAAGAGCTGTATTAGATAAGGATGCTACTTAACTATTATTACCACATACTTTTTTTCAACTTACAGCTACAGTGCCACCTTCAGAAGTTAACCACCAGAATACAGGGACACACTAGAACCACAGACATAGGGACAACCTTTCTTGAACTAGGTAAGAAGGAGGGAGCCATGCATCCAGACAAATAGTGTTACTAGAATTAAGTGTCTGAGCTATTTCCCCTCCTTGGAATAATAACAACTACCTAAAAGTAAAGCAAATAGTCTGCTTCAAAAGGTTACTTAGGAGAATAATATGGTTATAACCCTTCAGATAAATCTGATCTTGAGTTAAATACTATGAGAAATTTTGGCTCAGTCTGCACTACTAATTGGTTTAGATTAGCAGAGTGGTTTTGAGGCACTTTCCCCAATGACTCTGGTTTGCTGCAAGCTGGTTCAGCTCCCTGAGAGCTTTCCACTCAGAGAACCTGGACGACTCCTGAAGGAAGCTGAACTACTCTCTGATTTACCTGTCACAAAATGCACCTCAAGCCCTGGGGGGACAAAGAGGTCTGAACCAACTACTGATATGCACAACTTCAAAATACACTCATGATACAAAACATCTGGTCCAGAGAACGAGACGAAAATTACTCTGAAGTAACCTTGGGACCACACAGATATAGGGACATCAACACTGCTTCTAGTCATTCATTCCTTAAGTACCAAATTTAATCGTTAAGTGTAAAAACAGTCATAAGTGCTTCTGGCAACTGTAGTGTCACTGCAGATATAGATCCAAGAAAATATGATACAGTTGGCAGATTTCTTCAAACAGTTATAAAAGCAGGAAGAGAGAAAAATGGGTTTTATTGGATACTGGGGTATGTGGACCCTACAGGGAAGGTAGTAGGGAATGTGCCACGAATTCCAATGACCAAACTCAGTCAGTTCATAATTAATAAAAGGGATGAAAGACTAACATCTAAAAATAGTTCAGGGTGAACTTTCAGACTGATAGATTAATTCAAAGCACATGACAAAGCTGTTAAGAAAAACCAAAACTGATCAGACAGAAACTTAGGCTGGAAATGATGACGTCTCCAATAATCAAACAAGTGAGAATCTGGATTCACTTGCCAAGAGAACAGTGTGGATAAAAATCTACTAAGTTTTAAGAAGGAGCTTGATGAACTCAATGTGATTAATTACAACAGCCGACATTTTATCCCACACAGTTCAGAAGGTCATGATGCTTCTAACACATCAGACAGGCATGCTAAGCTTGGTAGGCTTGAATGAACACAATCCAAAACAAACACAGAATACAATCAATTCTGTGCCTGATTTTTGGTGAGAGAAACACAGCGGCAGCTCAAAAATAGGAAGCCAATAATGAAACTAAAGATTTCCTTTTCTGCTCATTCAATCTATTATCCCAGAGCTCCTCCAGCAGTGTAAGTATTACATCCTGTCTCAAACAAATACAAAGACATTTCCCTAGAAAAATACTAGAATTTACCCAAATTGAATTTATTGCAATACTCGCATTTCTTGGTCTTTCAAATTATTCTGGAAACTCTCTCTTCTTCCTGACATTAATTTCTAAGGGAACATGCCCAGAGTTAAAGATTCAGCTTGAACCAGAGAGGCAGTATCTCCTCATGTCACGTTTCTCATTATGTCAGCATTCCACCTCCGAACTTGCCCTGTGAATTTATTGCTTTTTCAAGAGTAAGCTAAAAAGAAACATGCCAAGTAAAGCACTGGTAGTTATATTGCTGTGCTTTGCTTCTCAGTTACCTTACTGAGGAATCATTTGAATTGTAAGGTTAAGACAACCAAAACACTTTCTTCTGTTCAGGTTCTCTACTGGAGTGTAAATATGCTGCCATGTTCTACCCTCTCCTTCCCCACTAATTCAAGAGATTAAAAAAGGCTACAGTTCGACAGACAGTGCTTTTTTGTTGAAGTAATTAGAATATTCTCAGAATATTCCCAGACCTCTTAGGCCTTCCTTAATCCTGCTCTTCCAATGAACAGTGAAATTACGATTTTTCCTAAAAAGGGGACATAGATGTTTGCATATACTTTGACTGCAAACAGTAGCAAGCATAATGGGTCATAACTTCTGTCAGTACCAGTTGTATGTCAAATTTAGAGAAAAATTAGCTTTAATAAAATATAGATGAGAACTAACAGTTAAATGGCAAAGATGGAGGATAGCTAGCCAAGACATGATTCATAACTATTTTATGCCTCTTTCTCCTAAGCTCTTTTCCAATGCTACCTTTTTTTATCTCACTCTTGCCCAAAATCTTCATCTCAGAGGGCTAATACAAGGTGAAAGAACTATGTGCATCCCAAAGCAATAAAACTATCCTATTAACTTTCATCAACTCACCACGTCAGAAAAAAAAAAAGAAAAAAATCAAAACCCCAACAAAAACAATACCCTGCCACACACACACACACATGCCTTGAATTATGACAAGACTAAAAACAAGCCTGTATTTTTCTATTACTAAAATGTTCCTAAGGAAAATTATTCTACAATGTTTTGGAAAAAGGAGCTATCATAAATCAACACTGATATATACTGTTCCCTCTCCGTAAGCACTGACACAGCCTCAATTAGACTTATCTAACATAAACATCGTAAGAACTAACAAGTATTTCTACTGTAGTCTGTTGGAAGATTGACAGAAAGGTAATGTACCACAACACGAGATGACCAAAACCTCTAATAACTTGAAAATAAGCTACAAAGCATTATTTCCTGCACAACCATGGGAAACAAGGACCTTAGAAAGTAATCTGGGACAGTCAGGTAATATTAAATGAAAGGAATGTGAAAAAGACTTCTACAGAGTCCAGGTGGAGTCAGAAGAGAATCTAATGAGGCAGGATGGAGTCCTGTGTAACTGTGGAGGCACAGCATAGTACGAAGAGAGAAGTAGGTGAAGTTCTCAGTCCCAAACTGATAAATAAGTTAATTGGGGCAATAACATTTTTAAAAGATTCAAGAGAAACATCTATCATATTTCAAACAAAAGGGATTACAGAAATTAAGATACAAAAGGGTAAAAGCCTGGATAAGAATAAAATGCACTCTCCGTATCTGCAGGTTTCCCCTCTTCTCCAATTAGACAAACATACCGTATTACAACCAAAGTTTTAAGCCAGATTACTTGAGTACTTACTTTTAATTCCTAGAAAGAATATGACTTTCCAGTCATGAGAGACTGGACTGTTAATGGTTAATGACTTAAAACAATTGTGGAAGCATCAGTGTGCCAAAGCTGGGTGAGATAGTGCCTTTTATCATGGTAATTGTTGCCCCTTACCCAACTCTGCTCAGTTGTAAAACTTCCCTTCCTTGGGGAAGGTCTGATGGAGCATAACTGGCTCAACTGCACTGATATGAGAGGCAGCTGCCACGTCTTCGAAGGGGTCATAAACCATCAAAGATCCCCAAAGCACCCCCAGAATCATTTTCTGAGGCCTTTCACCAGAGGACTGAAAACTGCCCCCACCCAGGGGAGGTACCAGGCATTCCCACCTGGCCTGAACATATATTAATCCATCAGACTTTGTTTTTCATGGGCTTCTTCCCCCATGCCCAACAGAACAAGATAGATCAAGACTTCAAATAACCACTTAGACCAATGGACAACTAAACCACAACAATAAAGTCTATGGGTGGTGATACATTCTTACTATTATTCTTTCTTTCTTTTCACTTACATATTTTCTTAAGTGCTTTCATATTGCCATATTACTGTAGATAATAATAACCAAAACGGCCACATACCTGCTTTCAATTGCAACCAAATTATTCTAAAATAAACCCTACATATATATATATATATATATATATATATATATATATATATATATATACAAACATCAGTCATACAGTGTCTTTCACTCTAATTCACCCCAAGGGATCTACTGGCAAGAACCCAACTTACTTGTGCCTTCAGGGGTGGGTCGTAACACCAATAAGGAATAAAAAAAACTTCAAATCACTATAAAAGCAGTAACACATGAAACAACACTTCATGAGAGAGTACCCATTAAGGTCTTTCCAACATCAGCCATGCACTGCAGTAAAGTCTGAAAGAACACACTACCTACCCTCTTTGAAACAAATCAACATTGAAGAATTTGTGGAGCTCCACGGAGAATTCTACCATAGCCTGAACTTCACTCATGTTTATAAGGATGAAGAAGTTAAAACTTGTCAGCACCTCAGTTACTGAAAACAAACAGAAAACACACTATTTAGAACACAAGCTGGAGATAATGTCTATCGGGTCCTACAAAGGACAATGTTTATATACAATTTTGCACAGCTTTCTTAAACATGCAGACCCTGAGGTAAACAATAATACAGGCTGTACCAAATCCAGTCCACAGTAACTTCTATCTTTGCTGTGAAGGAATTGTTATCACAGAACCATCACAACACATTGTCAGCATAATACAATTCTGGCATTTACTGATATCTACATACTGCAAGTCTGCTCCGGTACTTGGCTGGATAGGGAAAAATACTGCCATCAAGGAGACAGAGAGAGGATAGGCTGCTTCCAGCCCTTGTTGATGCAGAACGACCATGCAGGCAGCAGTGCCTCAATGCTGGCATGAAGACAGGGAGAGCTGAATAACAGCACAGCCAAACAGTAAAGAGAAAGTGTCTGACCAGGTCACATAGGGTTTAGGATGGAGAGATTCTAGAGGGAAGGTAGGAATTAAGGAGGGAAACATGCCTATTTATAGTTAATTTTTTCTTAGGAGTAAGGTGTTAATACTCACTCTCATCTTCACAGACTGGCAAGTTCCTGCTAATTTACAACTGCCTGCTGATACCTAAATTAAAATCCTATAGATTTTACCAAGTTCTGTTGGTTTTCCTTCAACAATATCAACTAGACTAATAAAACAGACTACATTTTCTGTGAACACTTGCCTTCAAACTTAACAGTTCCTGAAACTACTGTCTGTTTTGGGGACTAAGTTAACGAAAAAAACTAGATTAGACTATCTTTTATGCATATTAGCACATTTTTGCTGGGTTTAATGCAGAAGCAGTAAACATTGAAAAAACTTACCTGTCTGGAGCCTGAATGGATTATGGGGGGTTTTGTTTCTAAAATTTTCAACATGCATTTGGGTGTTTGTGAAGTAGCAAGCAGTACTACTGAGACTGAAACAGAACAGCTGGCAAAAAATGTCATCACCACAGCACCTGAAAACAAGTACCTTTAGGGGCAACCTCTAGCCTATCAGCTAAGCTTTCTTAGCATAGAGGTAAGATTTACCTCTCTGTACTCACTCTAGAGGAGCTGGAAGGCTCCAGCCCCCACAGCACAGGTCTAGATTTTTAACTACAAACAAGAGGCTAATTCTGATCTTGGTTTAAGAGCCAATACAGGGACCCTGCAAGGACTTTACAAAAACACAGAAACAGTATGTTACTGAAGTAACAGTGGACAGGGGAAAACGAATTTTGCTGCTGAAGCTATTAGGACAACATGAAGACCTCAGATCAAGGGCCCCTACTACAGCATCTAGATCACGCTATTAACCCAGCTTGCCTACAAATCCTGTCATCATTCAAATTTCAATCCGAAAGTCAAGAGATTAACTGAATGATGTCACAGTTTTGCTACAGACTGCAATGTTAGGACTGGCACTGATAACCTACAGGGCTTTGTAGCAATTCCCTCTTCCACTGCTTTGTCTATAGGATTGAGTAGGGATGTCCTCAGTGGTCTTAAAAGCTATAATCAAGATGTTCTGCACTCTAATTCTCTGGGGTTGCCATACCACATTATCACATGGGCACCACCTACCAAAGTCCAAGTATATGTTCTGTAAACGGAACCTGAGCTGCTGCACAGCAGAGCTCCAGAGCTCCTAATCCCACTGTGACCCTGGGCTGCCAAGCAACAAATCCTGTGGGTTGTGTATGAAACTGTCCAATATCTCAAAAAGGAACCCGCTTTAAAACACTCAGGAAAAAGCAAAAGGACTTAAAGTAAGGATGCCATGGGGCAGTCTCATCCAGTTTGCATTTTAATGAAACTACATTCTCCTGTGAAGAAGACATCACATGGCTCTGACTTCCTGGCACAATGAGTGGTGCTACATCCCTGAACAGTTTGCCTCCACTAAGAAAAGGGAAGACTGTTCCTGCAAGAGTTGTCCCTCCAGACCCCAGCAGGAAGACTCAGAACAATCCAGAACTAGTCCAATAGACAAGTTCAAAGGTCCATTTTATGAACGAGTTAATTAAACAAAAAAAGCTAAGAGAGCTATATCTTGCATAACTGCCAAAAGGGTTGCCCAGTGAACTTGTGGTATTCCTATTGTGTCTAATACAGCTCTAGCTGGGGCCATTCCCTCCCTCCTCTATCAAGCTTACTTAGCATCCCCAACCAGCACACTAAAAATCACCTGGGCTGGCAATTTTTCCCTGCAGACCAAGCACAGGGTCCAGCAAACACAGGACTGCATGACACACCACCATATATTTTAGTCCAGTATCACAGCCCTTGCTATCAACAGTATCCGGAAAAGCGGCATCCATGCCACACTCCAGGATCAACTGCAAAACCAGTAAGAAATTGTGAGGCCCAGTTCACAGAATGGCACACCCAGCAAGCACTGCTGCAGGTAACTGGGGCTGCAGTCTATCACCTGACTACTGAGAATGGCTTTTTCTTTGTAGAGCATCAGCTTGTTCCACGTGCACCTTAAACTGGGAGAAGGAGAACATTCACTGCCCTAGGCTGACACAAACCACAGACTTTTCTGCAAGTCTTTCATATCAGTGCAAAAGAAAACAGTGTTCTGTGAACTATAAAATAGAAAATGTTATGCAGTGATTAAATATTTTAAAGGAGAAACTCAACTTGGACAAAGTCTTAAATTTTGTACGCTAATCATACAAAAACCAACAAAAAACTCATGTAGAAGTATGTACTTATATAGATTCCTTTCAAATTTACAGCTAAAATTTCACAAACTTTAATTACATCAAAATTCCACAACTCATTTTAATACTTAAAGAGTTTATTGTAGTATTTTAAAGCACATCATTAGCATTCAGAAACGAAGCTATTACACTGTACATTTGTTCTGTCTGCCTGTAAGAAGCAAAAGAATCCTTCAGTAGGAGCTCTCCACATATGACAAACAGAATTTAATGCAGCACATAAAGCCATTTCAGAAGGTCTGATAATAAATGAGAACACCCTAATACACAGAACAGAAGGTTTCTAAACTTTTGGTAGCTACTTAACATTTATAATCAAAACATTTCACTATTCAAAAGTATTTACAGAACTGAGAGTAAACATCTCCAATAGTTAAAATATCAGTTAAAGCCACTTGATCCTAAGTTGAGGACCAAACCTTTCTTTCACACTTCTGGGGGTTTATTTATTTTCCTAAGCTGAAAAATTTCTTACATATTGTGGCCAGTCCATGCTCTCCCCACATTCGCTCACCACTTCTTTAGTTATCCAAGCTAATCTTTCCTGAGGCCACAGTACAAAACCGATCACAGGATATCAGATTTTAAAGGTCCATCTGAAGGAAAAAATGTTTCCCGAGTCTATATTTTTTCTAAATTGAGCTACTTTACAGCAGCTGCATCAGAGCATTTGAGAATGCACTAAAAAGACAGAATCCTCCTAAACCAGCTTTGTTTTCAGAGAAATGCTTGTTACTTGTATTGGGAAACGCAAGACAACACTAAGAAACAAAACTGCAAAAAGATGTTCAAAGAATGTCTTACCTGCATTGGTAAATACTCCATTTTAGTATGTTAATCAACCAGTCTTCCAGTTCTTCACTACTGCTGTCGGAAACATATTGCTCCAACTAAAAAACAAACAAGCAAACAAATGTTTTACTAACAGCAGTATCTCTAGAACTTTTCAGTACTCATGTTATTTGTTCCCTTTTCTTGCATCCTAAGAACAACCTTTATCATGACCTCTCCAACAGTCATACATGTACTGCCTATGAGCATTCTCCAATCTGCCCTTGGGTCCTGCACTGTAATTTTCAGCTCTTTGCAAGTGTAGCAGTCTGATAACTATTTTTACAAAATAAAGTAAAAAACCAGAACCTCTCGTGAAGCCAGTGTTCTGGCAAAGCTGACACTGCCATGTCTTGTCAAACTATCCCTGTCTTCACCTAGGAATTCTAAAATCCAGCTCCCGGAGGACTCTGGTACCTCCCCAGCCAACCCACAGTCTCCCCAGTCTTCAGAAAGGCTCTAAGCTCACCAGCAGCAACACAGCAATGAAGAGGTAGGAAGATATTCTGGCCTGAGTCATCAAATACAGCTCATGCCCCCACGCAGTCTTACATAGCTACCACGGAGGAGACAACTTATAGAAAAAGGTCTGATGAGATTCTCCTGGTAAATCTTATGTCCCTTCTCCACAGGAAACAAAATTCAGGGGACAAGGAGGAGAGCCTTAAGACCAAGAACTCACTTTCTTAGAGCAAACATTACAGGTAAGTCAACACCACAACTGTCCCTGTCCTGATCAAGCACTACCTTAAAACTATTTGAAAAAAACATAATAAAAAATCCAAAAATCTCACTTTTATCTGATGACCTTTAGATTCCAAACACATAGAAAAGAGAATGCTTAGCTCTCCCCTCCTAGAGGAACTTTGCATCCTTTCTGTATGTATGTTCCAAAGAAATACAAACACAAAATCTATCACGGCTTGTGCAGGCAAGCTGTGAAACTTAACTGGTTTTGTCTCAGCTTCAGAGCAAAGAAAACAGAGAAAGCAGAGCATAAAAAAATACATTATCTGGAATTTTCTAAATAGAATTCACTTGTGCATGTCATGTGTGGTATTCTATCTTTGATACCATAGTTTACCAATAATGACCGAGTAAAAGCCTGATACTATAATACTGCATAGAAATGGCACCATTTATTCTATCTGTTTAACAATGCATTACAGCCTATGTCATACCAGTTCCCTTTTAAAGAGGACTAAGTTCCTTTTTAAGAGAGAGAGAAAGAGAACACACAATCTTTTCTAATCTTAGATTTAGTATTTTATATCCAGTGGAAATCAAAAGCAAAACTACAGATTGTGCACATGAAAATACAGCAAAGTGTTCACTTTCCATGTCTTCTTTTAGCTGCTCATTTAACATTCTTCAAGTAATATTTTTCCTCTAAGTTGCCGTAGGAGCTTTGTACACTTCCATCCCTGACCTTTTTTTACCCGTCTTCTTCCCCTTTATGCTCAGAGACCCAGCACCTGCCAACAGAAATTCAGCCACCATTTATCTCTGTGCTGATGACTCACAGGTTTGTCCCCCCCACCTGAGAATTGCCTTCAATTCCAATTTTAGTTGTTTCTTGGACGCTGTTTGCAGCTGAAATTTAGCGTGGCAAAAACAAAGTTCTTGACCTGACCAGCAAGGCTATTCCTAATGTCCAATTTCTGAGTGTGCATACTAGCACAATCTGACTGTAAACCTAGACGATATTTTTCATTTAGTTTTCTCTAGGTGCTCATAGACTTTGGCAAGACTATGCAGAAGACCTGCCAACTTTTTCTGCATGTGATTAGAAATATGTCCCATCTATCCATACAGCCAAAACTCATCCAAGCTAATATCCTCTTTTATTTTAATTACTGTGAGGCTGAAAAAGCATAATTCACTGCATGTACTAGTTCAGCATGGTGCTGCAAAGAACCAGCCTGTTATTTTGATCATTTCAGCTCCCTCTGCATCCCCTGCAGAGAGAGCCTGGACTACTGCATCAAGCATAACTCCTCCTGTCCTTTGAAATCCTTTTGCAGCTGTGCAGCACATGGTATCACAGTGTTCTGGTTGAGACTAGAGCTTCCCAGCACTACAAATAAACCTTGCTTTTCCATAATTAAAAAGGTGAGGGGTAGAAAAGAACTGGTAATTGAATTTTGAATTGCATAATCATCATGTTGTAAAACAAGGAAACAAACAAACAAACAAATCCCTTAAGTGGAAATATCTAAGAGACCTTATTAAATTCATTACCCAATTTTAAAAAGACAACAAGACCATCACTAGAAAAATACTTCAGAACAGACTGCTTTTTATCAGGATTTATTCATTTACTTTTTTTGAAGCTTCACAGGTATAAATAATTATGTGAAGTAAATAACCACATGTAAATATAGTTGAACAGTGACCTAATTTCATGGGGTCAGGGCAAAAACTCAACTATTGAAGTCTTCATCATGCCTGCTTCTCTAAGCCCAAACTACTTCCCAACCAACCACAAGGTTTGATTCTAACAAAGCTAATGCAAGATATCTATGGCACTTAAATGGGCTATATAAACAATCAACTTAATCAGGCATTAAAATTCAATTTTTCATACTTTTTGCTTTAAATTTAGCACCAATATCTCATCCTCTATGCAGCACACTGATAAAAACAACACACTCACTACTTTGAGCTGACAACTTGATTATTCCCACTGAGCATAGAAGTCATTAAGATGTTGCATTTATTTCTTTTTTTCTCCCCTATTAATAGATCATACCCATGATACAATAATCCATCTTGAACATTTATTAGGCTTATTCCCTTCTATGCTAACATTGGGCTTTGTCTGTCTGACAAATGACATGTTATTTCTAAGCTTCCTCATTAAAAAATTTAACATGAAAAGTTCTGTGAGCAGTACAGTTAAAAGCTCACTGTCTTATCAATGTGTCCTCCCCCCTCCACCACAACCCCTGCTGCAAAACAGACCCAATGTTTGCAGATTTCTGAATTTTTCCTCCCAGTACAGGCACTAACTTCAGAGTCTTCTCTCTTCAGCCAACAATTTACACTAAACAAAAACTGCATCATCTCTCAGATCCCTTCTCCTCTTTCACACTAGGCGGAACTGAGCAATGGTTTCAACAGTAATTTGCAAAGAAAATGGAAACAGAACAGGAGCAAACCAAACTACATGTTTTACTTGCCTTTTACAAAGACTTACCCTAAAAACAAAATCCACATTTTAAAAGTTATGATTAAAAGACAATGAAATAACTGGCACAAATGTGACTGCTTTTGAGTCAGAAACTGCTAGAATGGAGCATTTTGACGAAAAGCAGTAGCAGTTCAGGATATGTGCTACCACATTATGCCAGCCACTTTGTCCCACTTTGGTCCCATGCACTGGCTGAGTGAGAAAAATGAACCAAATACTACCACACACTAAGAACCAAGGAGAGTGGACAATGTAAATCAGCAGTAAAGCTGAGCTACCTCAAAAACAGTAAAGAAAATAACTACATCTAACTACAGTAGAAGTAATGTATCTAGAAATACATCTGCAAATGTAGAAATAAATCTGTAAATTAATTCCTTGTTTCACTTATCACCTTCCATGAGTGAACTCACAACCTATCTTTTCCTAACAATCCACTCAAAGAGCAATAGAGGGGGAAAAGCAAAATGAAGTGCTTACTCTAAATAATCAAATAAAAGTCTTTTGGAACTTTATATAAAAAGCATATATGGATCTTACAGTAAATTTAAAAAAACCAAACAAATGATAAATTGCAGGCTGCAGTATTTTCGCTTAAAAAACCAAACTCTATAGCTTAATACATTCACCTTCTCATAATCTCAAAAATTTATGAAGGATGCACCAGGTAAGAATTAATAAAGTAGGAGAGGGAAGCTTACTAAACTAATTTGATTCTGCCCAACTGAATACGTTCTTCATAAAACATTAAGGGTCTGTCAAAGTGTACATAAAATATACTTCATTTTCCTATTTATATAAAGGAAGAAAGCTCCCTCTCTTTGAATCCCATGTCCTAAGCAATGATGAAAAATAATTTTACATGGGTGAATGAATGTGGCATTAAAATGTCTGCAATACCATTAATGTCATTACTCTGCCATATTTTATGAATCAAAAGAGTCTCCAAAAGAAAGTTGCAATTTCTGTCCCACCCCAAGCAAACCTACTGTAAAAAAATAAAGCTTTTATTTCAAGAGAAATGAAAAATAAATCTAACTGGATATGATCAGTAAATTATTTTTAATAGGTAATAATTCTGTATTATTGTCCTTTGAATAAAAAAAAACCATTTTACAGAGTTGAGTCATTGTTCCGATACCTGCTGTTAGGTCATGCTTTGACAAGACAGTAAATACAGTTTAGACTTGATGGGTTGATTTTGTATTGGAAGGCTTTATGCCAAATAGTTACTGTATTTCCTCCCACAGTAGGCATTAAGTCAGCACAAATGATATATTGCACACTCTTATTAACTTAAGAAATGTGATAGCTTGGCTGCCTGATCAAAGTTACATTAGGGGATAATCTGATAGTAAATCTGATCCAGGATCAGTGGTCACAAAACCTTGCTAGGTCACACTTCCTTGCTAGTTCCTACAGTAATAGCATCTGTGGTGATAGGCTGGATGGGTCAACACAGAAAAACAGTGACTGCCAGGATTTTCTTACAAATGTAAGTTCTTTAAGAAATATGCAGGAGTACTCTATCAAAAGCTATTTTACTTTTCAACACCTAATGTTAATAACCCACTAAAAAGTCAGCTGATTTGGGGCTGGCTACTACATCTTTAAAAATATAATCCTTGATATCATTTTTTTTCATGGAATCACAGTATCATTACAGTTAGAAAAGACCTCTAAGATCATCAAATCCAAACCCTTAACCAAACACTGTCATCTTCACCACTAAACCATGTCCTCAAGTGCCAATTCCACACATTTTTTTTAACAATTCCAGGGACTGTGATACCACCACTGCCCTAGGCAGCTTGTTCCAATGCCTGACCACATTTCAGTGAAGAAATTTTTCCTGTCTAAACATTA